AGTCAGTTTCTGTAGGTTGTCTAAAGAGCTAAACATTACATATAGCAGCAGCCTTGGGAGCAAAAGAGTGTGAAGCTTACTCTCTTAATGAGAATTTTGCCCTCATTCCTTTCCCTACTCATCTTCATCTGTTAATCAAGGGGTAATTATTCCAATATAGGGGTTTCATGACAGTAAAAATTATGAAAACATTAATGTCCAAAAATTTAGTGGGAAATATTTTTCTTTAAAAGACATGAAACACAGAAATGTTTACAAGCTTTTCTAAACACGTTAACCTGTATCCAGTGATTGTAGATGAGAAAGATATTTTTGGAAATTTAGTTAACAATAAAAAGAAGATAGGATTATAAGGGTTTTTTTTTTTTTAGCATCTAAGCTTAAGTGACAAAGAAATGGCTTTCCAGTTGTATAATTTGTATACTGTACCCTGAAATAACATTTGACTATCTATGGTGGATTTGCTGTTCGCCACTACAACTTGTAGAATGCAGTAATTAACTGATTCTAAATAATAAATAGCACTGGAGGATGCATAAGAAAAAAAATCCCAAGCAAAACTATGTTTGAAATGTAAAATTATTGGATGCATGAAAATATGAAAAGCGAAATTTGTACTTATTTTAGCAAATATCTCCCACAAATTTTTCAACTCTATGATTATACAAATCATAACCTATCACAAAGGAATAGAAAAATTAAACAGTTAGTGGAACCACAAAAAAAGAAAAATGATCAATTTTACAATTTTTTAAATAAATAGAGAAGTGTATAGTTGTCATATAGACGAGAGGGAGTTTTATTTAACATAGTGTTATATTTGGAAAAAAGTAAAGTAGAGACTTTTAAAAATAGTGTTCCATAAGAAGTACTTTAGGGGTTGCCCAAATGCATAATTTCTTACAAGTTCAAGTGTGTAGTTTTTTGTGTACCTTTTAAGACAATCTCAAACTTCCAAAAAATTTAAAGAACATCTTTTTCCTGAATATTTGCAAGTAAATTGCTAATAAGATATCTCCTAACCCCAAGTACTTTAACGTGCAATTCTTATAAACAAGGACATTCTCCTCCAACAGTAGCAGTAAAACCATCAAATCAAGAAATTAACATACAATCATGATATACATGCAATCATAATCCTCAGACCCCATTCGAGTTCTGCCAGTTGTCCCCAAAATATTCTTTATATTTTATAGCAAAAGAATCTAGCCCAGGATCATAACAGTGTATTTGGTTGTCATGGTTTTTTTTCAGTCTCCTTCAATTGTGGAACAATTCTTCAGTCTTCCGTTGACTTTCATGACTTTGAAGCTTTTGGAGATTAGTCTGTTATTTTGTATAGTTTCTTTCAGTTTGGGTTTGTCCGATGTTTCCTTGTGATCAAATGCAGGTAAAGTGCATCTCCGGCAGGAACACCGCAGAAGCGGTGCTGTGTCATTCTCATTAACATCCTATCAGCAGACACAGGATTTCAGTTTGTCCCATTACTGGTCACGTTAACTTTGATCGCTTGATTAAGGGGGTGTCTGGCAAGCTCCTCCACTGTAAGGTTACATTTTTACCTTTGTAATTTATACGTACTTTAATATATAGTCTAAAAACATAAAAACATTTTAACGATAATAAGACACACTAGAATATGTTATAAATCAAAATTTAACTCAGAGACCATTTCAAGTCGTTGGCTTAACTCACATTTGCATTTCAGAACCTAGCGTGTTGCTCACTAACCTCCTCAGGTTCTTACAACATAATTTTGAATGACTCTCTCGAGTGTTTTTTCTTTAGCTGAGCTGAGTTTTCTGAGCTCATCTGAGATCACTCACCTATACCCCTGAGTTTAAAGAGTGTTTAACACTGAATGACAGCCCTGATGTGCTCACTGTATTTGCCTGGGAATAAAGCATCTGTATTCATTCTCTATTGCTGGAGAACAAATTACCATAAATGTGTCCTTTTGAAACAACACACATTTATTATCACACAGTTTCCACAGATCAGGAGTCTGGGCAAGGTTTGCTGGGTCCTCTGCTCTTGGGAATATTCCAGGGGTGGACTGGGGCCAGGGTCTCAAACTGAGGCTCATTCGTTTTCCCAGCCTACGTGGTTGTTGGCAGTATTTACTCCTGGCAGCCATAGAACTCAAGGAGACTGATTTCTTCACGCTCCTCAGAAGAGTCTCTGGCTTCTGCTTCTGATCTCTAGACTCTCTTTTAAAGGATTCAACTGGTTAAGTCAGGACACCAAGGATAATCTCTCTGTTGATTGACTCAACCTAAACGCATCAGGCGCATTAATTTCACCCGCAAAACACCTTCACTTTTGCCATCTGGATTAGATACTTGAACCTCCTCAGTATTGCTTCACTGGCTGTTAAGTTTGTCACTTGGTTCTGACTCAGCTTTTTCTTTCCTCGACTTGAAGTTTTTGCATGTTTGAACACATCAAACTGTACAAGTAAAGCCACTGTTACAACATGTGTGCACCATTGTGAAATAGCTGGCAAGACTCGGGGAAGTGCACTTCATGTGTGCTTACCACGGAGTAGAGCTGTGCAGGGACAAGAAAATGCACAGCACTTGGAGTTGTGATCCTTTCACGATAAATGATTTTAACGCTGTAAACCTTTGGTGCTTTTTGCCTGCCTTTTTGAAATGAAATCAGTTGTTAGATATTATCGGTGATTCCACTTAGAGGCACTTTTTTTTTTAACATCCTCTTAAGCTTCTGGATCAGTTTAATTGAAGAGTTTTCCATGGGCACTGATTTTTTAAAAGAAATACCATTTGAAATTCCTTATCTACATGAGTCTGGAATTCCTGAAAACTCTGTAATCCCGGCAAGAAACAGAAAGGGAAGCTGAGGTCGATATATCAGCTAAAATCATCCAACCCTGTGTTTTATTCTCTAGTTATGTCATACTTGTCAATAAGGATTTAAAAATATAAACTTGTAAAATAAACATGTGCTCATAAGTTTCTGCTTTTATCTGCAGCAGTGGCAGTGATTGAGGTGGGTGTTTTGAGTGAGATTTTGCTTGATTAAAGAGTCTATTGCTTTAAAAAAGTTTGAAAGACAGAAGAGTTTGATTAAGATCGTTTTGGGAAGTCTGGCTCTCCAGCTCATAAATGAATCTAGGAAATTCAGGAGCCTAATCAAGTAATAATGTAATTCAATTCTTTCTTTAATAAGACTTACAGAGCTTCTATATAATCTGATCATGTGTACCCACCTAGTCTGATTATAGGACTACTGACATCACTCCTTCTAAGTTTTACTGAACCGGATCAAGACCTCAAGATACAACAGCCTTTCTTGTTTTGCTGAGTAAGCCTTAAATCTGAGTAAGTAAGTTTCCCACCACTGAGATCTGACTACATGCATTTTATCAGACAAGGTCAGTTCTTTTGACTGTCAGCTAGGCTGCCTAAAGTCCATGACACAATTTTTCCAAACACAGTGGATTCCTTGGTAAATGCCTCCTAAGTGATAAAGATTTCCTCTTCCGGAATGGAGTCAGGAAAGACCTAAATCTAAATGTCCTAAAGTGCTACGTTGCCCAAGGCGTTTTCCCCCGAGTCTTATTGAGGTATAATTGAAATGTGTCAAACCTCACACATCTGGAAAGTACAGTTTGGTGCATCTTACTACATGCCACAATCAAGATAATGAACATTTCCATCATTTGCCTCTTTGTAATTCTCCTTGCCTCCACCCTTTCCCCAGAAAATCACTAATCTGCTTTCTGTTATTACAGATTAATTAACATTTTCTGAAATTAAATGGTATCACCCACTATGTGCTCTTCTTCTTGGCTTCTTTCACTTAGCTACTTATTTTAAGATTCACCCATGTTGTAGAGAACGTCAACTGTCCATTCCTTTTTATTGCTGGGTAGTATTCCACTGTCTGGATGTATCACCATTTGTTCATCCATTCGTTATTAATGGTCACTTGGGTTGTTTTCCAATTTTCAACTACTACATACAAACCTGATATGCTCTTTCACATATAGGTCTTTGTGTGGGCATATGTTTTCACTTCTCCAGCGTAAATAGCTAGGAATGGAATTGGCACATGGTAGGTGTTATGTTTCACTTCTTAAGAAACTGCCATGTCACTCTCCAAAGTCATTGTACCATTTCACATCCCCATGAACAATGTATGAGGGTCCCATTCACTCTGCATCCTCATCTACACTTGGTACTGTCAGTTTTTAGAAGTTTAGTCTTTCTAATGCAGGTGTAGTGGTTTCAAGTTACATTTCCCCAATGACTAATGATGTCAGACATCTTTTTTGGTGAAGTGTCTGTTCAGATCTTTTGCCCATTTTCTGCCGGGGTTGTCCAATGTGCTTAAAAAATAATAATAAATTCATTTTTAATTAAATTTTTAAAAAATCTTTTATGATGTACTTTTAATATGTGTATCTGGGAAAGGTTTGGCATTCAAATAACCTCATGTTGAACATTTTGGCTCAGGAAGTGATAAGCTAACCACTTTGATCTCTACCAAACTTGAGGAGACTTAAACCTTCCTCTTTGTGTAATAACCCGTTCTGGACTGCTCGGTCCGGTCACGTGGTATGTTAGATGTCCTCAGCCTCTGTCTTTGTGTCTTTCCAGCGAGGGCACGTGCTGCTTGTTAAAGTGTTGTTACAAGTTGGTGCCCTTCTTATCTCACATACCCTGTGGTAGACATTATGATTGGAGACACGAGGACTAGATTTGGTGCAGGTGCTACTGAAAACCTCCTTGCAGTCAATGTAGAACAAAAGAAGGGTTTTTTGGGTTTTTAAAAATTGAAGTACAGTTGAATTACAATGTGTTAGTTTCTGGTGTACAGTAAAATGATTCAGTTATGCATACATATATTTTTTCATATTCTTTTCCATTATGGTTTATTACAAGATATTGAATAGCATTCTCTGTGCTCTACAGGACCTTGTCGTTTAGCTATTTTATATACAGTGGTTTGTATCTGCTAATCCCAAGCTCCTAAAAAATATGGACCACTTCACGAATTTGCGTGTCCTTCTTGTGCAGGGGCCATGCTAATCTTCTCTGTATCATTCCAATTTTGGTATACGTGCTGCCAAAGCAAGCATGGGAAAAGGTTTTTTAGTGTTGTTTTTATGGCTGTTCTTCTAGGGAGAGAATGTCAACATAAACAGAAAGGTTTTCTCTAACTGTATCAATAAGTAAATGAGATATTGCCAGTAGAAATCTAGGGGATACTTTATAAATACCTTGTATTTGCCCTTAAGCTAAGCATTATCTATTTAAAACGAGAGAAATAAATTGAAGAACAGTTAAGCTCTCTTTGCTCGCTCCCATGCCCAGGGTCGATCCTTTGAACTCTGTAGACAGTGACCGATCTCTCCTTCCTCTAAATCTTGAATAGCTGTGTCCAAGCTGAGTTGTGTGCATAATTGGACTTTGAAATCAATACTACCTGATAAAACACAATCCAAATAAAAAGATGGAGTCACATTCAAAATAATAGCGGTTATCTATTTTTCCACGATTGCAGATGTGTGTGTATGTGCTGGGGGTGTGGGGGATGGTTGTTAAAGGATTGCTCTTACTATTTTTAATAATGAAGATTCTTCTGCCCTACTCTCCCAGGGGCTGTGTATTGACTTTCCCTCTTTTCTTTCTTCATTCTCTCTTTTCTCTTCCCCAAGGCAAGCACAGTTGTTTATTTAATTAGTGGGGAGAGCCCGACAATCCTAAGGCCGGGTGGGCTCAGCCTTTAGCTCCTTCCTGGGCCGCCTCCCCCGCGGCATTGTGGCTCACTGCGCTCCCAGGTTCTCATCACTAAGCTGGCAGGTGTGTTTGGCCTCCTGCAGGCACCGACAGGCCTCTGTTCTCTCAGAACCAGCTCCTCACCCTACTGCTACTGTGTGGAAAAGTCAGGTTGGCTGCTCACGTCTGCCTGTTTATCTTCAAGTCACGGTAGGTGGGGCAATGCGGGAGGTAGGGAAGGCCTAAGAAAAAAGCTTTTTACTTCAGACCTCGTTTGATGGCTAATAAAATTTAGAAGCAAAATGTCTTTTGTCTCCTTGGCTCTATTTCTGAGTTAGTATGATCTGAAGGGGATTTGAGCTACAGACTTTGTTGTGTGTGTGTGTGTGTGTGTGTGTGTGTGTGTGTGTGTGTATTTTACTGAAGCGTAGTCAGTTTACAATGTTGTGTCAATTTCTGGTGTACAGCATGATGCTTCAGCCATACATGAGAGCTATGGACTTTAATTTAAAAAAAAACAAAACCAGCTTGGATTGACTGAGGTAAATGTGTGGCTCCATCCTATCCCCTTCATGGAAGCACTGCCCAGTTCAGAGGACACATGCATGTTTGTGGCCAGCTCTGTTTTTGCCTTCCCCAGCCTCTCTGTATATGCCTTCATGACCAGACTCTCTTCTCTCTCCCTTAATGCCTAAGTATTGAGATAGATACCTTGTAAAAAATCTAGGTATTACGCGAGCATTTGCTGAGACTTGCAGAAAACAAATAAAGAAAAGCATAATTTGAAGGACAACAACAGCAAATTCTAAAGTAGAAAGGATTCGGAAAGCATTAAATAGAGTTATAGCCTGATAACATGAGGGTAACTTGAGAATCTACTTCAGCAATTTTTCCTGAATAATGCATAAAGGTGACTCAGGAAGGGGGTGACTTACTGAAGCGAATATTTAATGTCAGCAAATCTGGTGTGTTTCTAAAGCAGATGCCTTCTACTTTTATTTACTGAGTTAAAAACACGGATCATATTTTTATGGCGTGTGTTTTTCTCTTCATGCTGTATATTCTTTATGCTCAGGATCATAATGGTGGTTTTGCCAAATGCAGGGCTTTTTAGGAACCCAACATCTATAATTGCCATGTTGCTTTTATATTTGGGGGGTGGTGTCACATTACATTACATTAAAAAAGAAAAATGAAACGCACTGATTGAAAATCATGGGCTTTCAAATTCTGTTATTGATGTTTCTTTCCGATACCAAAAGACAGATCGGTAACAACCTAAAACTGACATCATCCTTCTCATGTTTAAACTTCCAGGATCAGTGAGTCAGAGGCACAGTCTGGGTGAGTTTCTCTGAGAGAGAATTCAGTGATTTTCAGTTCTGTTAATATGAACTTATTATCTGTAAAAATATGCATAAAATCTTGGATCTTACTGTTCAAACCTTCGCTGAGAACC